CCTTTAGGATGCTTTGTAGTAGAGGGTTGGCTTTGGCAAAATCTCTTAGCTTCTGTTTATCCTGGAATGTTTTGATTACACCATCGTATTTGATTGATAGCTTTGTTGGATAAAAGGATTCTTGGTTGGCAGTTTTTTTCTTTCAGGATTTTATATATGTTTCACCATTGCCTTCTTCCCTGCATGATTTCTGTTGAGAGATCCGAGCTTAATCTGATTTGCTCTATTACACTTCTCTTTTCCCTAGCTGCTATCAGGATTCTGTCCTTATCTTTGATTTTGGAGAGCTTTATTATTATGTCTTGGTGATTTTCTTTTAGGGTCTATCCTTCCTGGGGTTCGTTGAGTTTCTTGAATGCTTATCTTTCTTCTTTTCAATATGTTATGAAACTTTTCTTCCAGAAGCTTTTCAACTATCTCCTCTGTGGACTTGTGTAATTTTTCCTGTTCCGGAATGCTGATAATTCTTAAGTTATTCCTCTTCATGTTGTCCAACATGAATCTTAGGTCTTCTTCAGATTTTTTAATCCTTTTTTCGGCTTGCTCTTTTATCTTAGTAGTGCTGAAATATTTATCTTCTAGCTCACTAGTTCTGGCTTCTATCTCTTCAATTCTACTCCTTTGCCCTTTCAGTGTATTGTCCATTTCTGACATTCTATTAATTGTTTGGACCTTTTTCTGTAGATTTTGAATTGTTTCCAATGATGTGTATCTACCTTATTTGATTGTTCCTGTAGTGCTTTTCCTGACTTCCTTATTTTTCTCAACTCCATTGTAAAGTGTTTTGAAACATTTTATAATCATTTTTCTGAATTCCTTCTCAAGCATTTCCAAGGCCTGCCCTCCTTCCATAATGGAGTCTAGGTCTACCTCGAGGTCATTTGTCTCAGACATTTTATCTTGTTTCTGGACATGTGCTGATATGGTCATCTCTTTTTACCTTGGACATGTTCAGTAATTACCTGTGGCTTTAATACTTAATTGAGTGTGTGTTTTGGTATTTTTTATACTTTCTTATTGCCTCCAGGTAGGTGTGATCAAGAGGTAGGCTTCCATTTTCACTCTTCTTATTGCTTATTTCAGAGTAACTTTCACAGGTGTTGTCTGCCTCCCTGGTATATGGCTGTTAGTACTTGTTCTTGCCTGGATTGTGGGGTTTTATATGTGGGGTTTTATAGGGTATGATTGTAGCTGGACTATATGGCAGCAATTGCTGTCTCTTCTTGGGTAATATAGGGATAGAAAGTGCCCCCTAAAGGTAAAAGGGGTAACCCCCCCCAAAAAAAAACAAAAAAACAAAAACAAAAAAACAACAGATTGGATACTGTAGCCTATAATCGCACAAAAGGGAGAGGAGAGAGAGAAAAAAAAAACCTGTAGCCTAATATGAGTATGACTTTAATATCCTCTTTCCGCTTCTTGCCTTCAAGGCCACCTGATAAATTTCAAGATGCCACTGTTGGTTGTTATGCTGTACTGTAGGATTTGATTTTTGGCCTATCCTGATTTTAGTCTCTCTCCCATTCCACAATCCCTGTTCTGTCCTTTACCCTATTAATAAACAGTTCAGGGCCGACTATGGCCATTTTACACTGCTATTTGGTTTTACGCAGAGACTGCCCCTTTAAATGCTGAGAGGATCTGTGCACATACATGGAAGAAGAACCCTCCAGTGGTGGTGGGGATGGGGGTGTCCACTCGCTCAGGCACCCCCTTGAGTCACCAGGATGGAGGTGCGCAGACAGCAAGAGGCCAATGAACAAATACCAAAAGAAATTGGAATAAAACAACAATATTGTCCATCTTTGTCTCTGAGGTTCCCCCAGGCGTTATAGTCCATGGTGGGTCTGCTTGCATCCCTGCTTAGTCTTGCTGTTTGGTCTCGCCCAAGTTGTCGGCTCTGGGCCGCTGAGCCCAGCAGATTCGAAAGTTCAAGATTTCTTGCTTCTGCTACAAGTTCCACTAGCTATATAAGCTTTCAAACTTTTAAAATAGTCCTACATATGTGGTTCAGAGTTTTGAAGCTCTCCCCTGAACCCGCTTCGCCTGGTATTCTGTGTTATTGTTGATGGAGATCTTCACTGCACCTCTACCTTATCCGCCCATCAATCCCCACCTCTGATACTGTTGAGTGTTTTTGTGTACATCAAAAACAAAACCAAACAAACAAACAAAAAAAAAACAGGGAATAGAAGCAAACACTGTTAAATGATGATGCATGGATGGAATTGTAATCATTGCAATGAAACAAAATGCAACAGGATGTATGCAAAACCGATGCTCTCCCATGTAAACTATCACTCAATTCACATTAAATTAAAAAAAAAAAGAACATGTATTTTTAAAAAATGATATCATGCAATATCCAGCATCATTTCTATCACCAAGGCCATATTTTCCAACTACTGATAATTCCTCTTCATTTCTTACTTTTGCATTCCAATTACCAGTATTTATCAAAGCACCTTGATTGCATGTTTTATCAATCAATTTCAGACTGAAAAAGTCGCTAGAATTCCTCCATTTAATCATCACTGGCTTTGGTGTGTTAACAGAATAATAGTGATATTAACTGGTCTTCCTTGTAGGTATAGATATTATTCTATCACAGACAGCAGTGGACTTCAGAAAGGTCTTGAAATGTTCTTTTCTATGATAAACGCAATGCAATTTCTTTTGAATTTGTTGTTCCCTGCATAATAAACCATATGACTGTCTGATTCAAAATGACCAATCCTAGTCCATTTCAGTTCACTAATGCTTAGGATATCAATCTTTATGCATTCCATTTCATTTTTTGGTAATTTAACATTTTTCCTAGATCCATACTTTATACATTCAATGATCCGATTATTAATGGATGTTTGAAGTTATCTCGCCTCATTTTGAGTTGTGCCCTATCAACAAAGGTCCCAAAAGCTTTACTCATTTAGCCTTAAAACAGTCAACTTTACTTTGAGAAGCAGCTTCTCTCCAGTAGTACTGTGAGTGCATTCCAATGTGAGGGGCTCATCTTCCAGCATGATATCTGATAATGTTCTGCTATTATTCATGTTTTAATGTTCTGGTACTGTATCTGACAATGTTATCCTGCTATTCATAAAGTTTTGTTTTTTTTTTTCTTAAATGATTTATTGTGAATTATGTGACAGTATACATGGGAGAACATCAGTTTTACATTCATTCTATCGTATATCACCTCATTGCCATGGTTACAATCCCCTCCATGCAATCCTTCCCCCGTGACCCCCAGGTCTTCAGCACACAGTCGCTCTCCCTCTCTGGTCTAGAGTCTCCAGCTGCTCCATAGCTCCACATCATCATCTCTGGCTCCATTTCAGGCATCACTGCTTCTCTGGGTAGGGTCCCGCTCTCTGCTCTTCTCCCTTGATGGTCCCAGGGACCTCTGCTCCTAGACTGAAAAGTCAATCACTCCCCTCCTTGCTATAAAACGTTTACCTTTACATTTCCAACCCTCACAGTCAGTCCTGATAACAATTATTCACTATTGTATCACAAGAGACCCATCTGCATTTCATTGCATCACCCCTCCTAGTCAGATTGAATACTACTCACTGGAGATTCTACCTTCCTCCAGGCCCTCTGGGTCTAGGTTCCCTCTATTCATAAAGTTTTCAGTGGCTAAACATTCAGAAGTAGTCTGCCTTTCCTTCTTCCTAATCTGTCTCAGTCTGGAAGCTCCACTGAAACCTTTATCATAGGTGACTCAGATGATATTTAAAACATTAGTGGCATAGTATCCACCATCACAGCAACATGCAAGCCACCACATTACGGCAAACTGACACAGAGTGGTGGATTGTTGTTAGTTGCCATTAATTGGTTCCAACTCCTGGCAGTCCCATATGTAGAGAGCAGAACTGCCCCACAGGGCTTTCAAAACTGTGACTTTTCAGAAGTCAATCACTGGTCCTATTTTCCAAGGAGCCTCTGGATAGGTTTGAACAGCCAACCATGTGGCTAGCTGTCAGTGCTTCACCTCACCACCGTTACTAGTCTTTATCCAGTTAATCTCAATTATTCACCACACCCTGATGGCATCTTCTTACCTCCATGTGTCTATAGTGCTACTTTCACCTTAGATTTAAACACAAGGGACTTCAAAAAGTTTGGAAGAATGGAACTGAAAGATAATAGTATTTTTCATGAACTTTTAGAAGCTCCCTTGTACTCTTGAAGATGTATGCACCAAGCACAATGCTAGACAATTTGTATACATTTTTTGCATTCACTTCCAATGCTATAATCCTACCACCTTAAGTTATCTGTAAATAATAGCCATCATTAAGCACTTACTCATTGCTAACACTCATAGTGAGAACCGTACACTAGCATATTTAATCCTTACAGCAGTCCTATGAAATAGGGTAACATTATTATCTTCATTTTATACCTGAGGGAAGAAAACTCACTATGGCTCTCAGAGATAAAAAATTTGCTTAAGGTCAAGTAAGGAAGACAATGTTGCTTAGAAAAGTGCTTCCTGAGCTCAGAGCTGAGTTCTACAAAAATAAGGTAAAGCTGTCAAGGGACAAGGGTATTCCAAACATGGGGCAATATAAATAAGAGAAGTAGGAAATAATGTGGTATACAGTTCAGGAAAAATAACCACCTGCAGAATTAGGAGGGTTGGGTTCAAGTGTGTATTTACCTTTTGTTTTGTGGCTTTTTACTGTAACTACATATTCCTCTTCTGACAAATGGAGCTACATCGTGTAGAAGTGCTTCAGGGTTAAAGTGAAATAAAGTGTATGAAATTGCCAAATACAAGGCCAATCCCAAGGTAGGTACTCATTAATATGTTTTCCTTCCTTCCCCTAACAATTCAATAGTCTTGGTCTCAAGAATGTTGTTTCCATCTCCACTAGATACCAAACCACCAAATATCCAAGCTTTACCAGAGTTTTATGTCACCAAGTTGTTTGGTAACACACTTAACCACCATTTCTCAAAGTGAAAGTCATTCTCACATCACTCACCTGTGTACGCCATGTTCTTAGGGTTGCCATAGGGAGCCCCAGGCTGCACGGGGCTGTAAACAGGGTTCATTGTGGAAGACTGAGGATCCTACAGAGAAAATAAAGAAAACAGCATTGATTATTGGTTACTCATCCTCCCAAACATCAGCTTCCCCTCGGATCACCAGTTTATGCTCAAAGAGAAGCACTATCATGGTATAGTGAGGAAAACTATTTTTGTTTTGTTTTGTAATTGGCCCTATTCTAGATGCTTTTCCCATTTGACAGGTAAAAATACGAGAAGCAGAGTGGTACAATAACTTGTCTATTGTCAACCCAGGTCTTTTGACTTTCGGTTCAGTAGTAGTTTTAATATGCCACAGAGTTCTGCTGCTAGCATTTTATGTGGCATTAGTAAGCTTCCCTCTCTGGACTTCAATGTGCTGGTGTAAAATGAAAGAATTTGTCTAGGATCTCTTAGTCCCCTTGTAGCTCTAATAATGCTAGTTTAAGAGCAGAGAAAAGGCATGCCTGTATTGCTCACAGCAGGAGCCCAGGAACCTGGTAATGAACACACACACTGGAGAAAGAGAGCAGCAAACGTCTCACCTGTCCTTCACACCTGCATCATGACAAGCTACCAGTTATTAAAAGCTCTGAAAATTGTGAATTTATTGTCATTGATTACTTTCATACAAACATGGAAACATATCCAGGAACTCTTTCCAAATTTATTCAAAGGAAAGAAAAAAAAAATCTTGGAAATCTGAAATAGGTATAACCTGTACAAGTGCTCTGTTAATCATCTTAATGAAGAACATTCTCCATTTCCATTCTGATTAATGGAAAAATCCATCATTAAACTCTATTAGCCAGTCAATTTGTCCCATCTTGTTTTAGGAGTCATTTCTGACACACAGAGGCTTACACATGTTTGAAAACATGTCTCTAGTTATATTATTTACACTCCATAAAAATCAAACAATTCCTTCCTAACTAGGCTCACATGATAGATGGGCAATTTGGGGGGTCATTAACTTCTCCTATAGCACCTTAAAATAGGAAACAAGGCAAATGTTGAAGACAGGCAATCAATACTGTTCTGCAATTAATTAGTCTGCCCAGGGTTCTGGAATAAGAGGTGGAGAAACATTGAGTTTTTAAGAGGAAGCTGGGCACTCAAACAGGCAAAAGCTAAAATACAACTGGTCAAGTTTAGAAGATAAAACTTCTGGAAATGTACCACAAGTGTAGTACATTTCCAGAAGTTCTAGCTTGTAGTACCCTGGCAAACCACCCACCCCAAGGCAATAAGCTAGTTTAAACTGGCATCAATTGACAAACTGGTATTAGAACAATTTGGGGACTAAAATTAAAAGAAGGAACCTGTTTCGGCTCAACTGAAGGGAAAGCACATTCTTACAGCCAGTTATTCAACAGTCAGTCAACACTGTGTCTCTAAATATTAGTACTCACCTCACAGAGTAACGAAAGAAAGAGAGAACACAAATGCTAAAATACATTATAAACAATAAAATGGCATGAAAATATATATGATGATACAATGATCACAGAAGGCTGTCTGTACACTTTGCCTCCCTTTGATCTCTTCTCCCGGCAACCAGTTACCTGCCTAATAAGACTGAGAGAGGAAAAAAGTGCTAAGCTGTACAACCAGCCCTGTAAACTCTCCTACTGAGAAAGCACTCTGCGTTGCTGATTGGACAAAGATGAAATTGCTTTTCATAACCAAAGAAACTCATCAGCTTTGAAAATGGTCTCCTGCTGCTCCAAAATGAGGGCCACAGCCACAGAAGGAGATCATGCCTGGGGCTGCACTCCAGAACACTATCAATTCCAATCCTAACTAATGACTGACAGGAATGAGATCTGCCAAGGATTCAAATTTTATTATAAGACTGTGATAGCCACTTCTGGGGAACTGCTAAAAGACAAGCAGACTTCTAAGGGAAGGTCAGCTTTTCACAACAGAATCTACATACTGTTAACAGTTTCAGAGACAGACTAAAAATGAAAGAACACCAGTTCTATGATTTGGCAGATTAAGGTTCAAATCCTGGAAATGCCACACATCAACTACAGGACAATAGGAGAGTCCCCTAACCTTACTGAGTCTCTAACCACAAAATAAAAAACAAGAACACCTACTTGGTAGAATTGTAAGGATTTTTTTTCTTAGTTGGAATACTTAGCTAAAATTGCATATAACACTGACCCTTTTTAAGTTTACAGTTCTATGAGCCCTAATATGTGTATACAGTTGTACAAAACTCACCGCAATTATGATATAAAATATTTTCATCACCCCAAAGAATTCCTTCATACCACTTTGTAGTTAATGCCCTTCCTTCAGTATCCCTGGCAAACACTGATTTATTTATTGTTGTAGTAAGGGTGTTATGGGTGGGTGTACCCTGCTACAGTAAGTGATCATTGTTATTATTCCAGATGAGATTAAAAGGAATTGGTGAGAAAAGGCATATTAATCATAAAAATAAACTGGACTGTACATTTCCTGTATTTTCATCTTCTTCCAGATGGAGACTCTAGAGACATGATGGCTAATATAACTTTCTACAATAGTGGAAATAATATATACAGTAGCCACTAGCCACATGAAACTATTAAGTTCTTAAATGTGGCTAGTGCATCTGAGTGAATTTTCAGTTTAATCAAAAATTTATCATATGATGCTATTCATTCATTTGTTGTTGTTGTTAAGTGTCGTCAAGTCGGTTCTGACTCATAATGACCCTGTATAGGGTTTCCAAGGAGCAGCTGGTGAGCTTGAACTTATGACCTTGAGGCTCAAAACGAACTTGAAGTCCGGTATATTAACCCACAGCATCACACCAGGACTCCTATTTATTCATAAGTACATTTTATTCAGAAGCATCATTTTCATTCAAAAGAATACATCTTAGAAAGATCAACATTCCACTAAACTTGGAATGCATCTTATATTTTCCAAAGTGCTTTTCCATCTATTTTATCATTTCATGAGTCACATATAAAAATTTTTGAGCTGAAAGCAACCTTAAAATTTAAGCTAAATCTCAGCTGACTCCCATTTTACAGATGAAAAACTGAGGTTACGAAAAGGCAAATGAATGATCCAAGGCCACAAAGGAAGTAAGAGACAATGTCAAGACTAGCCCTAAGAGAGATTGAAGACCTAAATGTAAGAGCTAAAACTACGAAACTCTTAGAAGAAAGAAGAAAACCTAAGTATAAACCTTCATGATCTTGGATTCGGTAATGGATTCTTAGATATGACACCAAAAGCACAAGCAATTAAAGAAAAAAATAGTTAAATTCTATTTCAAAACTTCATGTCTTCACTGTTGCTGTGTGCCATTGAATCAGTTTCAAATCATAAGCAACCCTATATAATAGGTTCTAACTAACAGCGACCCTGTTTTCAAGACTATACATCTTCTCGGGAGCAGATAACCTTTCTTCCATGGAGCAACTGGTGGGCTTGAACCGTGGTTAGTAGCCCAACGTTCAATTCACTATGCTAGCAGGGCTCTTTAAAGACACCATAACGAAAGAGAAAAGATAGCACACAAAACAGGACAAACTATTTGCAAATCATATATATGAATGTATCTAGAATGTATCCAGAATATGTAAATAATTCTTACGGCTCTATAATAAAAGACAAATAACTCAATTAAAAACAAAAAACAGATAATCAGTGGGCACTGAGCTTTTGTTAGACATGCTGACAAATTCAGGATGTAGGAATAGCATGATGGACATATTTAATATCCCTGAACGGAACATATGAAAGTGATTAACTTGACAAATGTTTTGTTATTGATATATTTCAAACCCTCACCTAAAAATGACTATACTAATAAATGAAATTAAAAAAAAATGTTCTAAGATATAAGACCAATATATAAATTTTTATTTTATTTCTTATACATTAATAATCTAAAAAAATAAAATTATAATAACAATTCTATTCACAATGACATCAAAGAGAATAAGACACTTAAATATGAATTTAACTAAAAAGTGCAAGACTTGTACTTGGAAAACTTCAATATTTATCAATCAGAAAACTCAATACTGTTAAGATGGCAATTCTCCTGAAACTAACCTAGAGAATAAAAGTGATCCTTATCAGGATGCAAGTAAGCTATTTTTGCACAAAATGACACACTGATCATAACATTTATATGGAAATACTAAAAACCAAAAAATTTTAGAGATAAAGTTGAAGGACTTACAGGTCCCAATTTCAAAATATATTATAAAATTACAACAACCCAGCAAGTGTAACACTGGCATAAGGATAAACATACAAATCAGTGAAACAGAATTGAGAGTCCAGAAATAAATAAATCCATTTTTACGGTCAAACTAATTTTTTATAAAGATGCCAAGACATTTCAATGGGAAAACAACAGTCTTTTCAACAAATGGTACTAAGACAACTGGGTATCACATGCACAAAGATGTTAAATACCTACCTCACATCACAGAATTCCTGGTGGCATGTAGCTGCTAACTGATAAGCTAGTGGTTAGAACCCACCCAGTGAGTCCACAGGAAAAACACCTAGGAACTACTCCTATACAGATTACAGCCTAGAAAACTATATGGGCAGTTCTATTCTATCATATGAAGTCACTATGAGACTCAACAGTACCTAACAACATCCACCTTTATCATATCCAAAAATTAACTCAAAATAGATCAAAGGATTAATTGTAAGGCTAATACTATGAAAACTTTTAGAAGAAGACAGAGAAAATCTTTAATGTTGGGTTATGCAAAGAGTTCTTAGACACAACACCAAAAGCATGATCGTTAAAGATAAAATATATACACTATCACTGAATTTAAAATGCTGGCACTTCAAAAGACATGAGAGAGTAGCTTATGATACTGCTTTTGTAGGACAAACACCTCATGGAATTTCATTTCTGGGTATGCAGGTTTAGAGTCATAGTTTCATGGGATAGCTGGTTACTTGGCTTAGTGTGTTTGCTGCTTCCATTCTACTTCCTAGTTCGTTGACTAGTGCCTAGACTCTTAAGAGCTTGCAAATGTTCTCTATTTACCTGAATACTA